AAAATGGGTATTCCAATGTAAAGCGCATTGAGCTATTTTTTTTGGAAATGCGCTCTATAAATGTTATATATTATTATTATTATTTATTATTACTTATCATCTTTGATATGAAGGTCATCATCAATTTTTCATTTAATTTGACCAATTTTATAAAAGTTATTTATGACATGCTATTTCTCATGGGATTTTGTTCTTTGCGCTCTAAAACATTGGTTACGATATATATTGTTGGAAAAAAATTGATGTCATGACTCATTTTATTGACTTGGCCAGCATTTTATCCTAAGATCAAAACTGAGATCTGAATTAATTTTGACTTTCTACCCTTGTTTAGGGTTTTAATTGTGCTGACTGACAATTTGATTTGTAATGTATCAATTTTAGATCTAGTGGTGTGTCCTCAACTGGATGCAGCAGTGTTTGTCTTTTGGGGGACTGAGATGCTACTGAAGAATGACCTTGCACTTGCAGCACATGTGCATTATTGTGACGTCATATGATCCTTTCTCATAATGAACGCTAGACTATGACACATTAAATGAGTACTGCTTTCCGACCAAAAAAAGTATATATATGTCATTACCATTATTCTTAGTATTAGTTGCCACAGTAATGTAGTGGTATTCTTGGGAGATCTCTTAGGACTTGGCGGGTTGTGGGAAGATGCCAGGAGTAGGTCCTACTTTTTTTTTTTTTATTCCTTTGCTGTTAATTTGTCCAACTTCACCCTGCACTAAATGACTGTTATTATGTTGATGTGCATCTCTTTACTCAAACTAAACAAAAACCTAGGATTTCAATCATAGATAAATGGTCTCTAGTCACTAAATGTACCCAGTTCTAGGAGTTAGGCCCCTCAAATGATTATGCCTTCTTTATAACTTTGTCTTATGTTGGCCTTTTCAGCTTCTGGTCTCCAGTGCCATCAGTGCACTACTTTAGAGTACAAGACATGCAGAGACCCGTACTTCACAGACAACTTGGGTGACTGTGATGACGACCAGTATTGTGTCAAGTACAAAACAGTTGTCAAGATCCGAGATTCCGGCTACATTAATGGCTGGGAGAGATGTAAGTGATGCTGTTTTGTTCGGGGGGGGGGGGGCATATATTTTTACTTGATTTATATTGCTGTACTTAGTGTAGAATATGTGATTTCATTTCAAAGACTAAGCTTTCTGCTAACTTGGCTGGATGAGAAAGATTCAGACAGTTGTGAGATATGGACTTTGGATTTCAAGATCTTCTGGAGGTTTTTTTCCTCTTGGAAGAAAAAGTAGGATGTTCAGGCAATTTTACTTTGAAGAAAAGGCAAGATATCCATGATGTTAAGGTTGACAAAGAGGCATGGCCCCATCACAGGAGCAGTAGCGAAACTTGCTGCGAAACACAGTGCTGCCATGTTTTGATCAAAGTGACTTCGAAAACACACTGCATAAGTAACAGCGGTCAAAACACAAGCTGAATTGAATGTCAATGCTGAGCAAGCAAAGAAACACAGCACAATCTGTCGCTTCCACTGTGGTATGAATTTGAACTTGAAATAAAGATACACCATGTTGGGTTATAATCAACAGACAAGATTCTGATGTGCAAATATGTAACTCTTACAAAAAATGCATTTATTCATGCACATTTTACAAACTTTTAAAACCAACAGTGGTGTCAAAATTGCTGATTAAAGAAATACAGTTGACTTTGTTTAAGACGAAAGAATTTTAGATCCCTGGTTTTGCCCCTCTTTAAATCAATTTCAACTTCCTTGATGATAAAAAATTCCAGCAGATCTGGTTGACACAAAGGATTTTGAGGCTGTTTTAGCTTCCCTCTTTACTGACTCTTTCGCTTTCCTTTTAATTCTTTTTGCTCACAGTAGTGTACAAATATCAGTACTCATCTCACATCGCACGTTCAATAGGCTAAACCACCTACCAAATTTTCTTTCCAACTTCCTGTGCGCAGCAGGTGGTGAGAGAGTTGCTTTGCTTTGTGTCATGTGACAGGTGAGATGAGACAGAAGGGTGTGTCTCTGTCTGGAGTGTTGTTCTAGTGTTTTTGATTTGTTGCTGGATGTTGTCAATTTATTGCAATTTGTGCTGGTTTTGATCACAAGATTTCTCTATACTTTCAGTCTCCCAAGTTGTAACAAGAACATGTGAGCCCAGACAAGGAAAAAAAGAAGGCTGCATTGGTTGGCAAAATAATGGTGGCGTCACAATCAAGTGCTGGTGTGGCTCTGATGGTTGTAACGGCAGTTCTGTACTTGGACCCACGACACTGGTTATTTCTGCTGCTTGTTTGATAGTTCTTTGTTTGCTCAGTTTCAGACAATGATTGATTGAAAGCTTGAAATGTTTTGAATGCTTGCAGATTGTTGGTTTTTTGTATGGTTATTTTTGAGAAATTGATTGGTTGAATGTGTAAGTTCTGGTTGCCTGTAGGGATAATTGTTCTGTGTAAGAGATTTTGATTGTGAAAGCTTGATGTATGCTCTAGGAACACGAATATGTACAGGGAATGATAGTATCTTTTTCCACAGATTTGATAGTAATGTACTATGTGCCTTATGGGTAGGATTTTTACTCTTTACTCTCATGTAGCAATGATTTATTTTATTTTCTATTAGGAAAGTTGAGACAGTCATAAACAAATTTTAAATTCTAATTGGTTTTCGTATGCAGCTTATTTGTAAGAGTGAGGAATATTGCGCAGCAACTTGTTTGGTAAGCTTATTCAAGGCCATCTTTAGGGGTGAAAAGTCAAACTGTTGAACAAGCTGCATGAATTTTGGCAAATAGAATTTTAATGGACTGTATTTAAGTGTTACAGCTTTTTTGTGGGGGGGG